AACACTTGCTTTCGTTACTCCACAGTTTCAGACAACTCATATTGAAACAAAATGACAAGTGTGAATTAAATAACAACGCAATCACTGAGCGGCAAAAGGAGAAGTCAAGAAGAAGCATCACTTTGCCACATGAAAGATGAACTTACATGACTAACAAGCATGTACCAAACCAAATAGTAGGTGGCACCCACAAGTGCATTATCAGAAAAAACAGCAGCTGTCTTCTTAACTTCCGTAGCTAAAGGGATAAAGCGTGCAAATCTCGGAATGTATTGGAGGATGACCACTCTCAGTAGCGTAGTTTTTGTGGCCAACACCTCTAAACCTTTTGCTTTGCGAAGATAGTTGGCCACCACAATCTGCACTGAAAACATATATATATCACACCACTTTGGGAACACACCTCCAAACCTCACTAGACTAGTTAATTTTTATAGCTAAATGCGAGGTTTTTTTTTTTTTTTATTTGAGTCAGATAGATAAGTGACTATCTAAAACTAGCCTTCAATTCATTCTAATATGATAATTTATCATCACTATTCTTCCCATAATCATGAGCTAACTACAGCTCATCATCTTTTTGTGGTGAAAGTCCTACTGTCTTTTCCCCGATCATCTACCTAATATTTCATTACTAAAAGTAATATGTGCTAATACATGCATTTCCTGCATACTAAGCTTTTAGCTTATTTCACTCATTTTGCATCTATAATGTATTTATAATACTTCAAACAAAACATATGTGTAACACTGGATTTAGATTCAAGCATTAGATGAAGAGAGCGTTGCACAAAACTTACCATGGAGGTTAGATCCTAGCTAATATTATTTTTTGGACTAGATCTAAATGCAGTGACTTGGGCATTTGACATTACGTATTTCTATAGAATTATTACAGGTGGAGGAGAAACTCTTGAAGCAAAGCAGTGGCTAAAAGAGGCTGATGATAATAGTTTGTCCAACCTGTGGCAATGGCAGCACAGAACTGAAATCAATGATGAAGTAACGCCCTAGGTATCTCTTGGCAATCTTTTTAGGATCAATGACAAGTTCACCTCGTCCAAACACCCGAGAGGATGGTGCAATATAAGCAGTCCGGAATTGGAAAGCCACGCGGATGAGATAGATAGCGTCAAGTATTGATCTCAGAATAATAGCAGTAGATGCAAGTGCAGTATCAATGGCGAGGCAGTGTGATCTGAGGTTGAAGTAGGGAAGGTAGAAGAAGAGAGGATCACATGACACTGAAATAATACACAGAAGCTCAAAAAACTTGTTCCACAGCAAAAGGGTCTTGTCTTGAGGATCAAATATTTTAGTCTCTGATACTTTAAGATCTTCTGGGAACACTTGCCAGGTGACTCCACTTTTCAGTGATCTTCCAAATGTCTTTAGTCCATCTGATCCTCTCTTCATTCCTATCCTAAAGGATTTTGATGCATTCTTATTTTCACGACCAGGAAGTGGCTTACCCTCTATATTAAATCTGAGCTTCTTCATGATTCCTCGTGGGCTGGATTGCACTGAATTGTTAGAATCAAGATCATCCAACCTATATCATCACCATTGGACGCTTATTTTAACAACTCAACACAAACCAGGTGTATTATGAACTCTGAATTCTCAAATCATTCACCTTCAATATGTTTCACCATAGAACATCAGTGAATGTGTGTGTGTGTGTGTGTTTGTGCAGTACTTGTGAATTTGGTACCTTACAAATGTATCTCTCTGGCCATATGAATTGTAACAAGAGTTGAACATGCTGAAGAAGTCACATCAGCATCTGTATAGTAGTTAACCTACTGAATAAATCACATTCTTTCATGAAAGCACTGAAGGCAAGAGGCTGTAAAATGTAGCAAAATTCTTGTGAATCCATATCAACTTAGATTTGGACATATTTGAAGAATTCTTCTCAAATATTATAGTCATTGAAATGCTTATTTGTATTGGTACAACATAGATTTCAACATGCTAAACATCCCGACATGATAAACAATGCTATGTTCTTGGAGAAATACTGCAAAATTATTCACCATCCAACATTCACACCCAAGAATTATTTCTTATGGCTTTCCAAGTTTGGCTGTTTAAATTAGACCTGATTTGACATTATTTAAACTGTAATAAACCTTCCTGGACAGAGAAAGAGAATGATGGTAACTTCAGCACAGTTCTAGGAATTTTATATTCCATCTATATCATATTTCGCTATTAATATAATCATTTCTATTCAACACAATCCTGATATCCACAAAAATGCAAGATACAACACGATATAAACACCACAATATTTATATAATAAAAAAATATGTTGTGTTTATATATAATTTCAAGAATTGCCTATTAGACATGAATGTTAAATACGTATCAATAATTTCAATTCCGGAAAACATTTTTTCAAAGCTGCTGTTCTTTTCTGCAGAAGAAATTCACCTCCATTGATTTGTTGCCCCCCCTCATCGAAAAAAACAGGGAAAATTTTAAAAAAAAAAATTAAAACCTCATAGCTGATCGATTAAAACTGATATCAAATTGGGAGAAAAATAAATGTAAAACAAAAGGCAGAAATTGCAAGGACTTACAATGAATGTTTGAAGAAATGAGAAAGTAGAGAAATCCAGAAGGGGAAAGAAAATGATAGAAGAGAAAGTTTGCCTCTGGACCGTTGAATTCGGAAGTTAAAACAGTTATTATCGTTATACTGGTTCCCGCTAGATTTGTATTGAACGGTTTTACCTTTGAGCCTTTGACTAACTTTCTTCAAATTTTACTACTTGGGTACTTCTTGGTATTACCATTAGGTGATTTTTTTTATTTGGTATTAGTAAAAAAAGAAAATAAAGAGATTGACGTGATTACTTTAAACAGGAAAGGAAATTAATATTTAAGCCTTTTCTCGACAATTTCTTTCCTTTCTTTTTTTTTTTGTGAAATTCTTGTAAATTGCTTAACCAATCAAGACTTGTTAAAATGAATGATCCTTTTCCTTTTTTGTGAATCAAAATCTGTGCACTCATTTTAGGTTTACTATTTTGTTTATTAATGCAATCGCAACCACCACCTCCCATTCTTTGGATTGATTAACACCTAATTTAAGTCAATCTCTTTTTTTTTTTTTTGCCGACTTAAGTCAACCTCTTTTTAAAACATAATTTGTATGTGAAATTTTTTTATCAATAATAAAGTATTAAAAAATTATGATGTAATTAGATTAAAATTGCGCTTGAATCTTACCCCATGCAAAAATGTACAATGTTAATTTCCAGTTGATATAATAATTGACCCCGCAATACATATGCATGTTGTAGCAACAACAACAATAATAATACTTATCCCACTAGACAAGGTCGATTATAGTGTATGATGTCATTATGCTCTATCATCACCTAAATCTTTAAAAGTATTATTAATTAAGAGCACGGATGCATATAGCAATTACTATTAAATAATGAGAATAAAAAAAAAGATAGGCAAAGAAAAGATTAACACATTTGAAAGACAGAGAGTAAGAATGTGAGATCTACCTATGAGTGAGATCACTCAATCTCTCTATTCATTGAGGATAACTTAAAACTTGCCAATCTCTGTTGAGGAGGTCAAAGTTATCCAAAACAGGAGAGCTAGCCCTATTAAGAGCTTACTAATAAAGATAACCTTCCTGAACCCCATGCCCCAAGTAAGGTCAAAATCAAAGCAATATTTTAAAATTCAGACCGACATCAAACCGGAAACGTTAGCAAATCTTGATTTTGGGTCGAACTAATAAGATGATAGTTAAATAAAAATATTATTAAATTCATATTACACACACACACACAAATAAAGCATAATATGTTTTTGTTGACAATAAAATGGCACATTACCAAAAAACTAATAACATTATAATTTTATAACTTATCAAACAGAAATAGAATTTGATTAATTCAAATATAAGTAAGTTCAAAAATATCTATATTTATACTAAAATATTATATATAAATACCTCTTCTAGTGGGCATTTAAACTTTAGTTCAGTACATTATAATGAAATAGTCCCTTCCGCAAACTGAACCCCCCTTTGATGTTCCCAAATGGTATTATATACGAAGGATCTAAAATAAAATTGACTTTTTGAAAGGTTTGATTCTAATTCATTTAAAAAAAAATTAGCTTGTTTATATCAGTTTCAACTCCATTCGATTTTCTAAAAATCATTCCAAACACCAACTCAACTTTGGTTCAACGCAGGTCAATTAACAAAATGATTTTTTGGTCTAAAATTGGCAAGCCTAGATGACAGTCCAATCTAGTTCTTAAAACACTGGTTCAAACCCAAGAATTGAGTGATGGAACCCTCCAAGCCAAACACCCACTAGAGTCTCAGACTAGGCATTAACTATGACCCACTTAGATGTTATGCCCTTGATGTTGGCTTGTTTAAGAATTACTCCTCCAGTCCAATATATAAGTCACTTTTTAGAAGCATAATCTGATCTATTTTGTAGATCATTTGTTGATGGAATTATTTGTTTTAAATTGAAATTTCCAAATTATCCTTAAAAAGTAAGAGAGAGAAAGACAGAAAACAATAATATTATATGATTAACTTACTTTTTGTTTTTTACTTGAAAGTTATGTTTGAAATTTTACTTACTTTTATTTCTTATACTTGTATTGTATTGATATTGATGAGATTGATAGAAATGACTTATAAATAAGACCGGAGGGAGTAACAATTAAACCACCAAGAATGGGCTAGTAAAAAAAGCTAGTCCTTATAATGCATAAAACCAAAAGTCAAACCAACCATACCTCCAATAAGACAATACCTATTAGGAATTTAAAAAAAAAAAAGAATCAACAAATAATAACATAGCATCACTAACCGTTCTGCTTCATGTAAATTATGAAACCATTGTTTTAAAAGCAGCGACTGTCTAATCATCTCGACATGAATTCCTGAAACCATAGTCTGCTAGCTAGGCTTAGTAGTTTTCCCATCTGTATGGATTAATTTAAAACTCATTTTCTACAGCTGGTGTGACATTTTTTGCATAAAAAAATAGAATCCAAAGACAACAGATGTGAGAAGACGAAGTGGCCAGCAATGGAGCTGGAAGCTTCCTTTTGCAATTCCATTCTTCACAAGTGGGACTCAATAAAAAGCAAATAGCATTAGCATGCAAGCAGATGACAACCATTCTTCACAAGGCATCACGAGCAGCTATACGGCAAGTGATTGCATCTGCAAGTGATGATACACCAAGCTCTGGGCCAGATATCTTGTAATGCTGAAACACAGCAGAATCAATGATTATGCCATTATGTACAAAAGGAAAAACAGAAAGTGGTATAGATTAATGCTTTGTTTGGAATAAGAAGAAAATAAGGAGGAGACAAAAGCAGAAAACTAAAGGAAAAAGATATTTTTCACCCTTATTTCCCCTAATTTCCCCATAGAAAGGGAGAAAACTGATGGAAAAACTGTGTTAGGGACGAAAAATATCATCGTCTTCTACTTTTCTTTCATAATTTTCTCTCCTCTCTATTTCCTCTCATTCCAGACAAAAGATGAGTGTAGATGCAAACTTTCTGTATCTGGGCTTGGTTTGCCCTCGCTTCCAGCTCTTCCAGGTCAATCTCTTTTCCGCTAATCAACTTCTCAACTGCTTTCATCTTAAAACAAGGAGAATTATCTTTGGTGTCAATTTCTAGCAACGTGAGATAAAAAAGAAGGGTGTCATATTTCATTGCAGAATTATCTCACCTCCTCAGGAGTAGCATCAAATCGAGCAGCAAGGATGTAAGTTGTGGTATCAGAGATGCCGCATCTTTTCAATGATTCTGTAATCTAGTCATCAAACAAAGTTCATATTCTATCATACAGAACAATGAAACAAAACAGGTAACACAATAATACAAAATATTACATGCTTGGATCCTGAATAATTATAAACCAGCTCTGAATGAAGTGTCCGTGTTGTTAAAGAATCCCGTGACTTGGCTATGAGTGTCTTATGTGCAGCAGCCAGAACAGGGAAAATATCTGGAATCTGGTTCAGAGGGAACATTAGCAAGATGCAAAAGGTTTCACTACTTGTCCACAGATAAATAATTACGATTATGCTTTCAATCATCATCTAATAAATGGGGCTGGACTTCATTCTGGGAAAAAGACAGCAAAACAAATGAACTAGAAAAAGGAAGGAAACCATAATTCCTAAATAAACAAAATTAAGAAGTATTACAAGCAAAGCATTGAGGAATGCAACTTCTGGTTCCAATGTTGCAGCTTGCATACTTTCCAAGAGCTCCCTGCAAGAACATCAAATTGTATATGATACTTCAACTAACGTCTAAGATCATGTTCCCAAACTTCATTATAGCATATACAAACTATTTTAAGCCAAAAAAAAATCCTTACAATTCAATCAACAAATTAGCTTCTCTAGATTGGTGTATTACCCAATAGCCATCAGCGATTAGCCAAGATTTTGTGATTACCATTTTGTAAAATTACATTCCCAATAACAGTGCAACTAGCACCAACGCACAATCAGTTAATCATTTACAATTCATTATAATGATGCTTCTATATATATTTCCAGTTGTCCAAACAAACTTTTAAAGAACTGTTATTGAATTAAAAGTGATTGTTATTAGTATCTTAGATGCATCAGATCCCACGCTTTGAGCATTATGTCTTGTATACCAACTACTTGCTCTGTTGCTCAGCTATAAAAGATCAGAATCTGTTTTTCTCTACACTCTCATCCTCTTTCTCAACATTTGAAGAAAAGGAAAGTGGAAAAAGCAAGCATAGTCAAAGATCTACAAGAATGCTACTCAACGTGAAAAGTTCTCATTTTAATTATCACATAGACGAAAGACTAACTTTGAATTGGTGACATCAGCGAAAAGTGCAAGAGAAAGGGTGCTGCCATTAATCTTGAACACCTTCATAGCTTCAGCTTTGAATCTGTAATAAGACAGAAATCATTAGGCTGTGTTAATAAGGAACAAGTATAAAGAGAACAAGGGAAGCAAATCTGGTTAATAGAATTGCAACATATATTAAATCGCTAAAAAAGAACGAACGTTGCAAAAGAACAATTTGAGAGGTTAAAATCACACTGTGTCCTTTACAGAGCAAGCAATGAGCAGAGAGTAATTGATGGAGCCAGCTATGAAATTGGAAGCATATCAGGAAATTATAAAACTTTGACCATCAGCGAACATCATCACCAGACCGTCATTGAAGACCAACAACAGCGAAAATGGTTTCGGAAGGTTCAAAATAAGCCCACGGATGATTTTGTTTGCTTCCCAGACTGACTGTTACATTCAGCAAGAAAGCAGAACACAGATATTGAACGGTGACACGATTCCGAACTTACCTTGCCGGGGCGGAGGTGCGACGGCGATAGGTAGTGAGCGGCGGTGGTTGCACGAGGTTGGGTGGCTGAGTGGCGGCAGTTATCGGCGCAACGATGGGATGGAGCTCATTGAGGGCTGACAGGGAATTTTTTGTTGTCATTAAAAAAAAAATCTGTGGGCAACGGCAGACACAGGTAGCAGAATCAAATAAATACATAAAAAATATTAAAAGAATAAAAAAATTCTTGAAAGAAAAGTTAATTGTATGAAAGAATATCCATGATACTCCCTCGCTTTTTATATATAAAATATTTTTAATTAAATTATATAAATTAATAAAAATTTATTTTTTAATTAAAAGTACAATAATATTTTAATTTAGCTCTTAATTATTATAAATAAAAAATAAATTTTTTTAAAGTAAATTAATGAGAATGCTTTTTTTTTCTCTTTTCAATTTAATAAGAATATAATGGCCCATTTATTAAAAAAATGCTAACAAACTATTATATTTTGGGATAAAAAAAGGTTTTAAAAAAATTTTATATATAGGAACGGAGGGAGTAGTATCCAATATAAATATGCATTATATATGTTAAATATATAATAAATATTATCTCTCCTTTCAAAAATATAAGACATTTTTTGAGAAGTTACATATTAAAAAATGTAAAGTATTTTTAATTTTTTGAGGTGTAATCATTATTTTTTTTAAGAATGTCCCTACTGATAATGACTTTATATTGATTGTAGGATATTTAATAAAGATAAATATAAAAGATAGGGTTAGTTTGAAAGTAAGTAACTATTTTATTGAAATGTAAGATTCAGTTAAAAATATCTTATATTTTTAAATGAAGGAACTATTTGTTTTGTGAATAATAATCAACTTTTATATTTTACCTAGAGAAAAAAATACTTTATATAGTAAAATTGGTAATTTATGTCAAGCTTATCTGGCCAACCTAAACTCCCTCAAAAAATTTAGAACCAAGCCCCAAAAAATAATATTTTTTAATGTTTAAGCCTTGTTCGAGCTTGGCCTAAATATTCGAATAAAAAATAATATTTTTAAAAAATATATATAATATAATAAATATTAATTAATTTTTAAATTTTATGTTATTTTATTTTAAAATACCATATATTTGAGTGTATTATTATAGTTATTTTTTAAAAATTAAAAATATTTATATTTTTATTATTTTTAATCAATAAAATATTCTAAAATAATATTGAAAATATATTTTAATATTAATTTTTATATTTTAAGACTTACTCATTTTTTAAAAAAAAATTTAACTCATATACATCGTTTAAGACTTGAGTATCCCGATGAGCTTTTTAGCAATTTTGGCAAGTAATTGAGATCCTAATGATCCAACTATAGGCTAATTTGCTTTGATTTTCATCTTTGTATTAAAAAAAAGACTTGAGTATCCTAAAAAATAAAATGAAATAATTAATTTTAAAGTAAAAAATTAAATTAAAAATAAAATTTGGGCACATACAAATTATCAATTCTATTATTAGATAAACATAATAAATAGAATAATATTTTTGGATAATGTTTTAGTTATTGTCTATGCCAGACTTAGTTAAAAATTAAGAATAAATAAATTAAAGTAAATACCCTTTGTATGTAAGGATTAAACAATATAAAAAGTTAAAAAAATAATTAAAAAATAATATTTTACTTATAATTAAATAATTTTAATTCATATAATACAGTAATGACTTTTTTTTATTCTTAAAAATAAAAAATATAATTTATCCAAAAGTTATTGTAAACTTTGCACTAATCGAAATAATGATTTTAAGTTAATGGTCTAATCGTGATTAAATTATGATCAACTTAATCATAATTTAATTAAAATATATAAAATATTTACATATGACTATGATAAAAGTAATATTTAAATAATTAAGACATTAATTTACAAGTAAAAAAAATTTATGAATAAATTACACATAATACAATAAAACAATAACAGAATTATTTAAGTATAAAATTGATGAGTTATTATTTTTTTATTCTTTTAAAGTCAAAATAATATTTCATGCTTAGCTATATGGGCTTTTTATATAAGGTATGATACTTTAAATTCAATCTGAATGAACCAGCTTAAATTGAGCCTGCCTCAAATAAGCTCAGTCCGCCTGAATTATTAACTTTATTATATAGTATGCTTTTTTTTTTGACCGATGGCTTTATGTAGCATGCCAAAAGGATTGTATTGTATCCACCAAGTGCTTGGATTAATTAGTCAAGAAGTTGATCAAACTTTATCAAAGCTTTTGAATTTGAATCCTAAATATGTACCAACTAAATTCTTGGTGGGCAATGGTGGAGTGGCATATATTCATACTTGGAGAAAATGACTTGCTCGGGGTATGTATTTCATATTTTACGATTTGCACCATTTTCTTATTACATTTTGCCCCTCCTTATTTTAATATTTTAAACCTTAAACCCATTTCAATCTTACTTTTTAGCTTATATTTATTCAATTTTTTTAATTCAAACCCTAGTGAATATTAGCTCATAATTTCACTATACCTAATTAAATATCAATATTATTTATTAATTATTTAAAGAATAGGAAAAAAAATCTAATATAACTAAACTAGACCAATATCGGCATCATCATGAATACTAGTTAAAGATTAGTCAAAAAAAGGCTATAAAGAATAAAGATTTAACATTTAAGAGTAAACTTGTTGAATGCTTTTTACTGGCTCATTACACTTGCAAGTCTTCAACTAAAGGTTAAATTAAGAAACAAAGAAAAAGAAAAAAGGAAAGAGAAATAATAAATTTGGAAGAGACAAAAAGATTTTTTTTGTTCCAAAGATTCTAGCTTTGCCATTGTCCCTAACCCAAGATCCTAACTCCATTAAGAAGATGAATAGTTTTGTCAATGAATTTGAATCACTTAAGCAAGTAGTTGAGGGTTTGATCTACATCCCTTATATATATATATATATATATATAACAATTCATTATAGGAAATATTTTTTGTTCTCAACGGAATCTATTTCTTATATTTAACTAAACAAAGAAAGAACTTGAATAATTTAAATTTAAAAATGTAGAAGATTTTGTTTCTATTTTCAAATACATTATCAATTGAACTAGTCTGAGATGGGAATAAAATTTAGATAGATTTATTGTATTTATAAAATATAATTTAATGGAATAATTAGGGTATTTATGGCAAGGGAAAATAGAATTAAGAATCCAAAAAAATTAATGATAATTACAAACCTTGAATTATTAAAATTTCAATAACAGACTATGGTCCTTGCAATTAAAAAAATAGAAACTTACATACTTAGCATTATGTACTTAAGGTACTTGTTTCTAATTAAATCATAACATGTGGATCTTTTATAAATTATTTATTCTATAGCAAATTCTTATTATTAACATTATTAACACATTAAAATTCATATGTCATGATTTAATTGGATGGAAGTATATTAAATATATAAGGCTCATTATATAAGTTTTGCCCTTAAAAAATGAAAATAATTATTTAAAAAATTAATAAAATACACTTGATATTATTTATAATGTTAATTGAGAATTTATAAAAGTCACTTGTGAATTTCAATTTTTTGCTATTACCATACAAATAAACCACATGAAAAATTAAGAAAATATACTTAAAATTATTTATAATGTCAGTTAAAAATTTATAAAAGTTAATTGTAGATTATAAATGAATCACTAATAATTTTTTTTACCGTTAATATATAAATAAATTATTTGAGAAATCTAAAAAATATAATAATAGCAAGAGCGATGAATTAGGTAATGTTGTAAATTATGAGTCATTGGCCCACTCCAGCTGTGATGAAGAAAGAGTGAGTGGCTGGTAAATGTAACGTGATGTAAGGAGAGAGAAAGATTAACGCACTGCATTTGAAGTAAATATTGAAATAAAAAGTCCTTATAAAAGCAAAACCCTCCATCTTGAAAAACAATTGTTAAATTGTTTGAAGATCACAACACAACAATGGTGGAAAAAGGAGTGAGAATGTTGAAGAGACTGAGAGCATTGTTCACAGTGTGTTGCATTGTGTTGCCTATTTTTGTGACTATTACTTGGCTACACTATTCATCAATCTCTTATCTTTTTCAAGAATTTCCCAACTTCAACAACATCTTGTCTGAGAAATCCCAGAAAGTTACAGCGGTTATTTCCAAGGAAGCAGACCCAGCCATTGCAGTGAAAGTGAAAGACCAGAGAATTACATTGGAACCAGGTAATTTCATTACACTTTGTTTCTGAATGGAATTAAGCTTTCTTTATATCCAGTGACTTCAATCTTTAATCTCTAGTTTTTGTTTCAATGATAACGAGAAGAATGTTTTGAGAGGCAAATACTTGAGATCTTAAAATCAATTTTTCACAGAACTATGCATCTAACAGGGAAAAGAAATGGAAAAGAATCAGTTAAGAAGAGAAAGAAGTCAAATCCCATTTTTCCACCCCTTTTCCTTCCCGGTATTGTATTTATGGATTTGGATTTCTTCAATTCTTTAAAAAGTGAAAGACACATATGAAGTGAGATTTATATAAAACTTACATGAAAGTCTGAGGATTTCTCTTTTTAAATAAGAAGAGAGAAAAATAAAAAAAAATTACATTAAAATCTTATATAAAAAAATTAACTACTGTAAGATTTATTAATATAATTATTATAAGATTTATTATCAATAAATCTTACAATAATTAATTTTTTATGTGAGATTTAACTGTAATTCTCCCAAAGAAAAAATAGATTTAATGAGCCCCACATATCAAGTGGGTCTCACTAAAACATTTTTCTTGTACTCTCCTCATCTAGACACTTTTGCAATTTGTGTTATGTTTGGGATGTTGCTTGAAATCAACAAAAAAAAAATTACGACTTTGGACAAATAATTTGTTACTGAAGAGCTTTGTTTGGATTGAATTAGCATGAAGCCAAGATCCTCAATTATGGAGCAATTTGTTTTAAGAAATTGATAACTTTAAAAATAATTTAATAATTAAAAAATAAAGTATACTCACTTGATTAAAAAATATAAGACATTTTTAATCTTTTGAGGTGTAATCATTGTATTTTTTCCAAAAGTATTGTTATTGACAATGACTTTATATTTATTGTAAGATGTTTAATAAGAAAAAATATTAAAAAATAAAATTAGTTTGAAAGTAGATAATTGCTTTATTGGAGGGTGAGATTCAATTAAAAATATCTTTTGAACAGAGGGAGTATATATTTATTTTATTGTTGGATTTTGAGTTAAAAAATAGAAACATTTAGATTATCATTTTAGATAGATAATCAAATAAATTTAATATTCAAAAATATTGAAAAGATGTATGGAAGGGAAGAGATACAAAATTTAAAATCCCATACTTATTATATGTAATTTTTTCAAGTGAGGGAGGCACCTTCACTTGTATGACTGGATTGAATCAATCAAAACTCAATTAGAGTGTCAACGAAGCATAATTTAGTGTGATTTTTACTTTTTGCGACAACAATTGAGGGATTGATTAAAAAACAAGTATTACTATGCTTTCAAATATAAAGATAAGCATTTTTTTATCAACAAGGATGCCATTCATAGAGCCAACCTCAAAAAGTTCATAAAAATACAACCAAATTGGAAAGGTCAAAAAAAACAGAAAAGAAAACCCAATCAAAAAATACAAAAGAACTAAACAAGCTAAATAAAGAGAAAAAAACAAGTTACAACATAACTTGGTAGACCTCTAATAGGATTGACATTACAGTAGAGAAGGCTTTAGTTAAACTAACCTCCATGATGTCAACTACTAGAAGATTGGACAAAGGTAGTGATCGGGTCTCCACCCACCCAATCGGATACACATCCTTACAAGCACCAATAGCCAAATGATCAACTGCCTAATTACTTTCAAGACAAGTGAAAAAAAAAACAAAAAAAAAAACCAGCTTTAGACATCATCAAGTCTATAGAATCTAAGACCACACCATTGCAAATCCATTCACACAAATCAAGTTGTCATCTGTGCACACTATTCACCAAGGGAAGATGGTGACTCTCAAGTATAACGTTATCATTCCCCAAATCCACTGCTATCATTAGAGTTTTCCTCAATGCCAAAGCTTCAGCTAAAGATAAAACTTGTTTTTATTTATAAACAAAATTACAAATTCCAAAAAACATTTATTATAATTTTTACAATTTATCCTTCATAAAATCAATGTTTATTTTCATTAGACAAATTTATTTCATTAATTATAGAAAAAATTTAGTCTAATTTTTTTTTTTTTAGATATAATTATTACATTTAACAAACTTTTTTTAAAAAACTGTACAAGTTAGTTATTTTCTTTTATATTCATAAACAAGGAGAGTACTATAGAAATAGTCAAAGATTTTGTTTGACCTGATTAGTCATGTCAAGGCATAAAATACTTGAATTCTTTTGGAGAGATCTGATTCCACCAATATATATTAGTTATTAATGTCCTTGTGATTAATCATTCATTTTATTCTAATTAAAGAAACTATCATATAATGAAGAGCAAACAAGGAAAGATATTATAAGTACTTCTTGAAAATTGATATTTTATTTATGAAAAAACAATAAACCATATAGAAGTTTTGCTTATATTTAAAGTATAATAAAGATTGGAGGCAATATATATTACTATTCATAAATATACTTCATATAGTCTTAATTACGGGACAAAAATTTTTAAGTTCTATTTGGTCATAAAGATATAATAGTTAATTTTTTTTCCTAATATTGTCCCTTTTTAATTGTACCAAGTTGTTGGCAAACTTTTAATTCCTAGACACACTTTATTGTGATCATTAATTTTAATGAGGGTAAATTTGAAAAGTCAAACATTTTTAATAAGTTTAAGGATAATAATTATCATTCTTTAAGAATTACTCTCTCCATACCACAATATAAAACTTTTTCTAGAAGTCCCTGCTTGGTCCAAACTATAAAGCATTTGGTAGGTTTTATATAAATAAATAAATAAATATATATATATATATATATATATTAAATTTTACTCTTACTTTATTATACTCCACTCAAGTAATTGAATATAATATTTTGAATAAGTTAAATATTATATTTATTCAATTCAAAGGTACTGTTGAAAAGATATGAAAATTTTTAAAAAATCAAAATTCTAACAATTTTTTATAAATATCAATTAGTTAATAATAATTTATATTATCGTGCGGATGGAGGAAGTATAAAATTAGTTAACTTTATCATATAATTAAAATGCGGAATTACGACACTCAAAGTGATGAAATGGGAGTCTATCTATCTATTTAGCATCTTTAAATTCACTTGTTCTTTGAAAGTTAAAAAAAAAAAAATCCTTTGTTAATTGTGTGTGTATCAATATATTTAATGTTTCGTCCCCTGAATATGATGAGATCCATTCACTCTTTGTTTATTAAACAAATTAAATGATGAATCAACAAACATCCCAGTCTTACATCATTTGTTCGTCCAACAAAAGTACATCCCACAATTAAACTCCAACAATTTCATTGCATTTAAGTAATACAATCTCATTAACCTTTCATTCATAAATACTCACATATAAAGTCTTCCTTACTAATTCACAATTAACTTTATAATTGAGATAATTATGGGACTAACTTAAGTAAATTATCAAGTTGGTAAAATTTATATAAATGGGATCTCAAGTTTTCAAAACTTAAAATGCTATAAAATCATTTTTAAAAATCAAATCAGAGCAAAAAATGTATATGGAAGTATGAACATCTTATAAGATAAGATAACATTAAATTGGAGTCAACATAAAAAAACAAAACAAAAAGGATTCTGAAACAATTATGTTGCAGCATAAACTGCAGAATCTATGACAACAAAAAGCTATCATGGCAGATTTCTTGCCCGAACTTTCAATATGCACCAAATCTCCGTCCAATATCCGATTGAAATGATCTAAATGTTTACAGAAAGCTTTTTCCAAGCTCTAGTTAATAACATTAGTTTCATATTCAAATCATTTCTCGATCAAAAGTTGAATATTAAAATGCAAACTTATCCATTTATGCTTTCAAAAACATAACAAGGGTGTCCAAAATCACAATCAAGTACCATAAGCTCATAACCATTCCTAAACCATACTCAATATACTCTATAGGATTCGTGCAATACACACACTCAACTAAAAATACATATATTACAAATTCACCACTCAATCCCATAATATATAAAACACAAAGGGGCAGAATTTCTTGCACAAAATAATCATTTTCATTCCAAACCAGTCAAAATACACGTATTCCTATTTGCATAGATATTTTGGCCATATACTAGGGTCTACAACCAAAATGCACTAACTTAGGGCAAAAAATACACAAGTGTGATATGATAATAATGTAAGTAGTATCAAAAATATTCATGTAATTCCTAGTCAGCAAGTTAACAATCTTAATATACATAAAACAATATAAATAGGCATACAAAGGATTACTTTACAATCCTATACCTCAACTCGTTTTCCCCAATCTTGACCCAATAAATTAGGCCCTAAAAATAGCAAGAATTGAGGGGTGGGTACAACTACTCAGTAACTAAGTTTCACCTAATCTATACAGTTACATATCAATTGAAAACGGATGCAATTGATAACAAACACACACATAAATATGTAAGATAATGTATAGCCTCAGCTACAATAATAACAATCATGTGATCGGGCTTCAAATAGATAATCATATATATATATATATATATCAATAATGCACAACTTGGGTCGCAATAATACCAACCATGCGCTCTTAAATCGCACCGAACTACAATACTAACAACCATGTGACCGGAACTAAATGCATGATCATATGCCAACCTTATACCCTCTTGATTACCTCCAACATAAAACCGGTGGCTATTCAGTAGTTATGCCCTTTACGGATTAACCCAACCTTCCACTTGTGAGAGGTTGCCAGATCAGGGTTAATTCACTCACTTGTATAATTTGGTTTCCCCCAATACTAATAACCCTGGGGTGTCGTACCCCTAATCTATCTCCTTATAAACCAGTCGAGACTAGTTAGGTTTGAGTCTCTCAAAGAACAAATGGGCCAGTTTTGAATCAACCATAGTTTAAGGATTACCTCCTGATTTTAACGGTCAGTGTCAAGGCAAGCTCCTGATTCTAATGGTCACTGCTAATACCACGTGGGTTTAGTCAACTATTCTTCTTCCTAAGCGACCTCCCACCAATGATCATACTATACACATATATCACATATGCATATGCATGCTAATCAACCATTCATGTCATGAATACATATATCTATACTTACACCCAACTCACTCTACACACCAACTGATACATAATCACAATTTCTCATTCATCATCACTATTAGCATGTATATGAACATATATATAATTTTCAACAATAATACACCACAAACCATGCTAAATTTGCATCATGAGTTTAAAAATATTAAACATGTTTCAAATCAACCATTTTAACAAATAATCAATTAATATTCAACCATAAAAAACTAGGTTTTTCCTAGTTACCTCAAACCTTTGAAAGGTCAAAGATTTACCCCTCAATAAAAGTTCTTCACAAACTATACCAAAGCTTGAATGGTGCACAAGATGATTGATCTACAATTAATTATATCAATCATCATTAAAATCATCATAAACACTCTTTCAACTTTCATAAATCAACACTTTAATTATTTAAAATTCCAATCTCTTGTAGGTTTATTAATTCCCATCAACTCCATTTAGGTTCCATTAACTTAAATAATCACTAATATAACACTCAACCATCTAAAATCGCACTTTGAAAATCTAGGTACCCAAACTTACAACCTTTTAAAAATTTTGAAACTATGTGTAAAATATTTAAACAACTCTCATTAATTTCATTTAGACTAATAAATTCGGACCCATAGTCTTAAATTTGAAAATCATCATTTCCAACCTTAAATCTCACTTCCAAAAAGTGTAGAGGGAAGAAGAAGAGATAAAGAAGGCATACCTAGGTGAAAAGCTTCAAACACCTTCAAAATGCCCAAAAGTTGTCCCTAGTAGAGAAAACACTCTCTTGGTCGTCCCTCCTCTATTTCAAGTCTCATACTCTATTTTTCAAACTAATTTTTGCGTTTTAAAAATTGATTCAAGAAATTATGTTGCAATATAATTTTTATGCATAGCATAACATTGTGAGTTAAAATCCAATTTCTCTCTACGATTTAAGCACAGGTGACCCAATTCACTTCCGAACCTAATTCAAAAGCTAAAGCTGAACTCAAGAAACATCTCTAACTATCCTCAAATTCAATTATACTAGAATTTTTATAATTACCCCCTCATTAGATTAATAAATCTTTGGAATGTTACACTCTCTCTGTCTCTATATATAAGAGGTTTTTTAAAATTATTTTTTTATCCCTAAATTTAAGGGATTGTTAGCATTTTTTAATGAATGAACCATTATGCCCTTATTAAATTAGAAAGAGAAAAAGATAAACTCTCATTAATTTATTTTGAAAAAAGAGATTCATTTTTTATTTGCAATAATTAAGGGCAAAGTTAGATTGTTATTGTATTTTTAATTAGAAAACCAAATTTTATTGATTTGCATGATTCGATTAAAAATATCTTATATATAAGGACGAAGGGAGTATGTATATCTCCAATTTTGAATACAATAGGTGGCCTAAGGTCCATTATAAGTGATTTGGTGTTTCTAAATATTATATGTTTAAAAAATAAAATTTTATTAATAATAATTATTCTAATATTATTTTTCATTATTTCATCTTTATATATATATATATTTCTTTCCTCTCTTATTAACAAAGAGTATTTTTAAAAATTTATAAAAAAATTTAAAGAATAAACTGTATTTAATAAGCAGTGTCAACATGTGTAACTTTGTCAAAAATACCTTTTAAATTGGGATATTTAAGAAAGCTGTTTTGGTCAAAAAAATAAGAAATAAATTTATTATGCCTGTTTGGTGCATTAATTAAATATTTTTTTACTCTTCTCCCATCATTGGTTAGAAGTTCTAGTTCTTTGGCCAAAAAAAAGAGTTAGAAGTTTTAATTACCTATCATTAAATTGAGGTAGAGGTTTAATTATGCATTGAATGGAGGATACTTACGAAAAGTAATTTTCATTTGTGACAAATTTAAGAAGAACAAAAATTAGTTTTAACGAATTTATTTTTTTGGCTAGAAGCTAGTTTTAACTATCTTATCTTATTATTAGTGAATTAATTATTTGTTCCTTATACTCTATTTTTTGGATAATTTTCTCTTCCTATATTTCATTTTTTATAAAAAAAATTAAATAGGATAGACGCAGGTAACCCACCAAGATCATGTTCTATATTTTGTTTTGTTGTTATATATTACTTATATTTAAGACTAGAGGGAATATGTGCATACATAAATCACTTTTATTGAATAATTAACCCAAAATACTTTTGAAGCTGCAAATTATCCCCTTTTCTTTTTCCCTCTTTTCCCTCTTCCGGTTAGTTTCTCCAACTCATTCAACCATGATAATGCCTTTAGGTTAGAAAAATATGTCAAAATATAACATATCAGATCAATTTTTATTAATATTTGAATTATTAATATTTACTTGGCCAAAAAATATTTATCTTCAATAATATACCCCCTCTGTTAAAAAATATATATTTTTTTAGGAATTGGATGTTAAAAAATATAAAGTATTTTTTGAAAAATTGAGGTGTAATCATTACTTTTTAAAAAAAATGCCCTTAATGAATGAATTACTTTATATTTATTGTAAGGTATTTAATAAAGGTAAATATGAAAAGATGGGGTTAATTTAAAAGCAGATAACTACTTTATTGACAGTGAAATTTGATTAAAAATGCTTTATTTTTGAATAAAGAGAATACTGATCTTGTGTTTTCAAATTTATTGGTTATGTTATATATATATATATATATTATATAAAATGTGAAGAACTTCAATTTGAAGTTGATGACGCTCTCTTACAACTTATAATGCTTCTAAAGGCTTTTTTATGTATATTGTAACTAATATTTTTATATTCTTTTTAACGCACGTTATAATCTTTTAAATGGAGAGAGATAGAAATAGAGATTTGACATGCTCTACCTGACAAGCGAGAGTGGCCAACCCTTAATGTCTTTGCCTCTTTTCACCTGAAAATCCGAACACTCGGAAAGAAATTAATAAATTATCACCCACTAATAAATTAAACTAGTGAATCTGGATGCCCTATCTTTCAAAGTGCAGGACAAAAGCATGATTCATTTGGTTTTTTTTTTTTTAATACAAGAACACAGAAACTCATGTAAAAGTGAACAAAATTAAATCATGCCAGATTCTATAAAAGATCTGCATTCTAAAGACGGGTGATTATAAATAATAATATTAAGATTTTCTTGAGAGGCTGTGATTCATTTGGTTTTGCAGAAGACAATTCTTCCGCTGGTCCAACAAGAGTTGATGATGAAGACAATCAACAGCTTCATGGACTTGACATGGCTTCAACATTTAATAATGAAGGATCATGCTTAAGCAGATGTCAATCTCACTTCTACCGCAAATCCTCCCTTCATAAACCCTCTTCGCACCTCAAATCCAAGCTTCGTCACTATGAACATCTGCACACAACCTGTGCACCTTCCTTCTCCTTCATCAGAAATCACTACACCAACCCTAATAATTCCACCATCAAGCATGATGCTGATCATTCTACAAATTGCAGATACCTTATCTGGTCAGCCATGGATGGTTTAGGAAACAGAATTTTAAGCTTGGTTTCTGCATTTCTTTATGCTGTCCTCACAGACAGAGTTCTACTTGTCAAATTTGAATCTGACATGGGTGGTCTCTTCTGCGAGCCATTTCCAAATTCATCATGGTTATTATCGCCTAGGGATTTTCCTGATCATTGGGAAGATGATGGTGATCAGGAGCATAAGGAATTGTCAACTCATCATCGTCCTGTTCTTCATCTAAGACACACCAATGATGATCACTATGACTTCTTTCACTGTGGCTCTACCCAAGATCTTCTGCAGAAAGTTCCTGTGTTGATTTTGCAGTCGAATCAGTACTTTGTTCCTTCCCTTTTCACGATCCCATCTTTCAGGAAAGATCTTACAGAAATGTTCCCAGAAAAAGACGTAATCTTTCACCTTCTAGGACACTGCCTTCTTCACCCATCAAATGTTGCATGGAAATTCATCAGAAACTTCTATCAGACTCATTTGGCCATGGCAAACCAGAAGATTGGCCTCCAGATTAGAGTATTCGACACACACAGAGAACCCCATCAAGTTGTTCTCAACAAAATCATAGCTTGTGTCTCCAAGAACAATCTTCTTCCTCAATCAGATAAGCAAATTATACCAGTAACTAATTCTCCTTCTCTATCGCAGAACTATACCTCAAAAGCTGTTCTTGTAATTTCTTTATATTCAGAGTATGGAGATAAAATAAAGGCTATGTATATGGCAAACACAAGTGTAACCAATGGTGAGGTGATAAGAGTTTATCAGCCAAGTCATGAAGAGCATCAAAACTCAAATGATAACAAACACAACATGAAGGCCTGGACTGAGATGTATCTGCTGAGTTTGTGTGATGTATTGGTGACAAGTTCATATTCTACTTTTGGGTATGTTGCTCAGAGCCTTGGAGGTCTGAAGCCATGGATTCTGAATAGGACATTTGGTGGTGAAGAGGTTCCATCATCAGATCCTCCATGTGTAAGAGCCATGTCCATGGATCCTTGTTTTCACTATCCTCCTAAGCGTGATTGTAGTTCCAATACTATTGCCAATATTACTTCTTTATTTCCTCACACTGTGCACTGTGAAGACTTTGGAAATGGAGTGAAACTTATTAATTAGTGACAATAATCAGTCATTATGTAATTTTTGTAGAAAACCAGTGGCTAGCTTATGATGAATAGTAATAAGATTTGATGGATATAGTTTAATTGTTCTGAATTGCATGTTGCATTTATTTGTTTAGTTGTTTTTGAAATAGTTAGATTAGACTAGTCAATTAGGTTGGATTATATTGATCAAATGATGTCCAAAAACATGTTTTAATCATTTAAAGGTTTTAAAATGGAAACCTTATAATAAAACTAACAATTACATGGTCTTGAAGTTTTTTTTTTTTTTGGGTCAAGGACAAAGCTTATTTTCTGTTGTACATATACTTTGTGTTGTTTTCCAAAATTAACACATGACTCATAATTATTTTTACACCTCACCTTTATCTCGTTTATTTTCTTTTAAACCATTGAAAATACACTCTCCCAACAGAAAAATTGATGAAGATACTGACTTTTTTTATTATGAATTGTTCAGTTAAATAATATCAGGAATCATGCTGAAATGACAATATATATAGTTATATACAGAGAAGTTTTATTTCACTTCCATACTCTTTCCTTTGTCACAAGCTACAATTGATTATAGCAATTATATAGAGACTAGAATCCTGGCCGTTGGTAATTAACTAAGTTTCAACAACCATAATCTTTCTGTGCACAAAATTCTTAGCAAGATAAACATAAACCCACAAACTCAGAGCACTTAAACCAGCCAAAACCCAATAAAAATCATCAAGGTGTGCCCTATTCAAGTTGTTTCCTAACCATTTCTCACCAAATCTTGAGCTAATTTCCTCCACAGCAACTATAAGTCCATTACTGGCAAAGCTTCCTGCTCCTACAATGCTTATATATGTTGCAGCCCCTACACTTCTCATTGCCTCGGGCATTTCATCATAGAACAGCTCTTGCAGCCCCACAGTGGTGAATGCATCAGACACACCTGTGATCATATGCTGAGGCAACAACCACCATACACTCATTGGTAACACAGCTTCAGGATCATCTATAAGATCACACTGTCTAGCTACTCCAACCCTTCTCGTTTCGACTAATGCCGAGACGATCATGTTTAATATGGACAAGAATAGACCTATTCCTATCCTTTGCAACACTGTGATACCAGAGTGATGGCCTGTGAGTTTTCTAGCTAAGGGTACGAAAAGCCGATCGTAAATTGGCATCGTGGCGAGGATCGTGAGACCGATGGTACCTTGAAGCGATGCCGGAGGGATTTGGAAGTGTGGTCCTATGGAACGGACCATTGTGCTGGCTTGCTTGGTGACGAATGTGTGGAGCTGAGCTTGGACAACGTTGAACATTAAACAGCTGAGCCAGATGGGGATGAGACGAAGAACTTGCTTGACTTCTTCAACTTGTGTTACTGAACATAGTCTCCATGGATTTCTTGATTTGCTTGAAGCATCAAGGTCATCGATGATCATTGCTTTCTCAAGAAACCTACGACAAATTTTCCACTTTGTAAGTTAAAAGGGGAAGGTGGTAAGCGACCCAACTAAACCCCAAAAAAAAAAAAAAATGCACCCCCCAAAATTTGTTATTGCTAACTTCAACATTGGCTTTTAAAGATATCATATTCTCAACTATAGTTGACTGGACAATACTTTGCATCCTATGATAAAGAAACCGTGCCTGGAACAATCCATGTTAATATAGAATTTTCTAATGTTGCCTTTAGATTAAAGAGATTCCTCATTTGAATACAATAAAAATTTATAAAATTAAATTTGATTCAAATCCATATTTTTTATAATTTCAAATTTCTTTTATATCTTAATTATAAAATTTTATCTACTCTAACTTTCTTATTTGATTCACGTTTCATTACCCGTGTTTTGTTACTCTTGTTTTTTTCTCTTCTCTCGTCGCTTGTTTTCATTTCTCACTGATTGAAAAATAGATAAAAGTTTGTTGCTCTTAATCTTTTTTTTTCCTTTGAATCTCAGCTAGTCTTTATTCTTGAATTTCTTAGATGATTCAAAAAAAAAATTTAAAATATATGAATTTTAAATATGTAATTTTAAATTTAAAATTCAAATTTAAATTCATCACTTCAAATACTAAATAATGAAGAGGCACCTGAAATCATTACTGTGAGCCAAAGAATGAGACTTGGGTTGACCTTGGAAAAGAAGTCCACCACCAAAATCGTCATCATCGCCATGCCAGTAAGCCTGAGGATCACGTGGGATTTTTACACACCATTTTCGAGTTGCAGCAACAAAAACTTGGGCCATACCAGTAAATGGGCTTGAAGTTGGGCCTTCAATCCTAAACCTTTTGATTCCCAGCAAGAATAATGCAAGAGCTAAAGCCAATACACCAGCCAATACTCCCAGGCCCACATCCCCCCCAACATTGTCCTATTTTTGCATATAATAGTAATTGGTCACATGGGGTTACCATATTTCACTCCAATATATTATATATGGAGATTTTGTTAGGTTAAATATTATGGGAAAATCACATAGTTCCATATACGAATTCTAATTCTAAAAAAATTACATGGAATGGACAAATAATCCTGAAATCCCATAAATTTTAATAGTAATTATTTTTTTATTTACATTTATCAAAATACTTTCTTGTAAAAATTTAAAATAATCTCCCCATGGTTGCCAACTCCAACTTGCTGGTGTCACAGCTGCCACCATCGGCTAGATGCGGGCAACAGGAATTTGGCACTGGCAACCATGGGGAGATAATTTTAATCTTTTAAAGGAGGATATTTTGGTAAATGTACATTAAAAATTAATTATAATTAAAGTCCATGGGACTTTAGGGTTATTTGTGTGGAAGTTTTTACGAATTAAAATTCAGTATGACACCTTTGTAGGATTTTCTCAAATATTAAAAGATAGCTAAAGTAAACTTGACAGTAAGTGAGTTGAAGTGAATTGAAAGTGAAAGAAAAAGGCATTAACTATTATTTAATTCATGAATGATTTTCCAAATCAGAGAATTGAGTTTGAAGTGAAGTGATGAGAATTGAATAAAGTTATTAGTTAATTACCTGAAGATATATGACTACAAAAAACGGCAAGAGTAGAACCAGCAACGATGCCCAAGTACCACCAATTGAAGAATGAGCTTTTGGCATCCTTCTCTTGCGGCGTGTCGTCGTCAAACTGATCAGCAGCAAATGTCTGTACGCACGGCTTATGTCCACCATCACCAACTGATAGTATATAAAGCGCCACAAAAAATAGACTTGTATTCTTCATTACTGATACTGATAGTGTCAACAGAATCATGCCCTGCAATATATATATATATATATATATATTTTTGGGTAACAAATGACTAAATGAGATTTTCCCATCTCAGCGAGCAGTAAGTAAATAAAAAATAATACAATTAAGTCCCAAAAAAATTAATGACAGTAGTTAGATTCACCATAAATTTTTTAAAAAAATAAGCTGTAATTATTGATTCAAACAGAGGTAAAAAAATTTAATTGTAAACTGAAAAATACATCTAAAAATTGAACACTTTATTTCTAATTAAAACTTCTAAATATATAATTATTTAAATTGATATTTAAAATTTATATTTTAAAAAAATTATCTAGAACCTCACTGTCGTCATTCGTTTCTTTTGGCAATAATTATTATTCGTCTTTTAAAAAAAATCACCTATACAAGATTTAAGCCCTCTGCTAGCGAATCCGGCCTTACGGTTAATTTAACCGAGCGTGACGCGCAGATTGAACTCGTGACAATATTGCTAAACTACAAGATCATTAGCCTATGATATATTCTTTAGTAAAAGATGTGCGTTACATTGCCCATGTTTTTTTTTTTTCAATGATAAGTAACTATTCATTAATTATTTATAACAATTTACAATCCATCATCGCTGGATGAAAACTCGTGTGTTTATTTTAACTCCTTTATAATTTATTAATATTTTAAACAAATTTATTATATAAAAAAAACCCAGTAGTAGAAGTCTTGGTACCCCCCCACCAAAATGAAATCAGGTAGAATGAGAGGTTGAAATGTAATCGTGCCAGAAGACAGCTAACAAAAAGATTATTAAAATTATTAAAATAATAATAATAATAATATATAAGTAAAGTACCAGGAGGTAGATGAAGGAGGACAAGAGGATGGTATTGAAACGACCCAGGTATGAGTCAGCGACGAAGCCACCGAACAAAGGAAAGAGAGACGAAACGCCAACCCAAGTGTTGACGTTTTTGGCCGCCGTCGCAAGGGGCTCGCGAAGAACATTGGTCAGGTATGTGATCAGGTTTGACGCCAAACCTTGGTAGCAAATCTCTCCGCGAACTCCACAGCTGCGAATTAAGGCGAAGATCACAAAGTTAGCGAATCCAACCTAATCTTTAAACATCAATCAATTTTGACTCATTGGTACTGTAATCGAACGTCTCCGAGACGGTACGATATAGGATCGGAAATGAGACTTACAGATGATGAAGATGGCTGCGCCCCAGCCACCTTACGGGGGGGGAGAATGGTTGATGAGAGCTTTCCTGTTGCTGCTTTCTTCCATGGAGGACGAAGACGATGATTGAGAGAGATAGAGAGAGATCAGATCGAATTTGAGCTAATGAAGTTGAAGATGCTGTTAAAGTTAATTGGGACTGAGACTGGAAGCCAGCGACGGTGGGCTCGCGTGAGCTTGACAGGCAGATCGAGATGGGGGATGAGATGTCCGCCAACGAGGGCAATCATATTTTCTAATACAAAAAGTTCAAGCCATGTTACTCACATGATTCATCTCTTGAATTTTTTTTCTTCCAAAATCAAATCATTTCTTTAGAATTTTGCATCCTAAAGGTAGAAGATGCATGATTAAAATTAAAAAATTTAAATTATCTTGAGATACTTAATGTTTAAACATATCGGTACAACTATTTGTTTATTTGAACGTATGATGAAAAGTCACTCTCAAATTTTTTTGCTTGGTCTTATGAAAGGCATTTCCACAGCATAGTAGAAACAGTCACGATCGGGTTTA